TATTGATGAAATTAAACTATTATACTCTCTTCGGTGAACGGGGGGTATGGGGTACAAGTTGGAGAGGGGGGGGGGAAAGGCACGTGGGTTTTCTTTTCCTTTAATTGTGATCTTCGATGAAGGGGGGGTATCGGGTGTAGGGTGTTGGGTATAAAAAAATAGTTGTGATCTTCGGTGAATGGGGGGTATAGGGTGTTGGTTAGAGGACAAAAAGAAAATCTAAGTACGCAAAGAAAACAAAGAAAAGAAATAGTTGTGATCTTCGGGGAATGGGGGGCATGGGGTGTAGGTTGGAACTTGGAAGACTAAAAGAAAGTATAAGTACGCAAAGAAAACAAAGAAAATAAATAGGTGTGATCTTCGGGGAATGGGGGGTATGGGGTGTAGGTTGGAAGACTAAAAAAAATCTAAGTACGCAAAGAAAAACAAGAAACCACCGAGGTGTGATCTTCGGTGAACGAGGGGTATGGCGTACAAGTTGGAGAACTGAAAAAAAAACTAAGTACTCAAAGAAAAAAAGAAAACAAATAGGTGTAATCTTCGGTGAACGGGGGGGATGGGGTAAGTGGTTGAGGACGAGTAAAAAAAGGTTAACTGAGAAAAGAAAAAAAAGAAAACAAATAGCTCTATTGTTCGGCGAAAGGGGGGGATGGGGTAACTGGTTGAGGACGAGAAAAAAAAGGTTAAGTGACCAAAGAAAAGAAAAAAAAAACAAATAGCATTATTCTTCGGCGAAAAAGGGGGGATGGGGTAAGTGGCTGAGGACGAGAAAAAGAAGGCTAAGTGACCAAAGAAAAAAAAGAAAACAAATAATATTATTCTTCGGCGAAAGGGGGGGATGGGGTAAGTGGTTGAGGACGACAAAAAAAAGGCTAAGTGACCAAAGAAAAAAAAGAAAACAAATAGCACTATTCTTCGGCGAAAGGGGGGGATGGGTAAGTGGTTGAGGACGAGAAAAAGAAGGCTAAGTGACCAAAGAAAAAAAAGAAAACAAATAGCACTATTCTTCGGTGAAATGGGGGGATGTGGTAAGTGGTTGAGGACGAGAAAAAAAAGGCTAAGTGACCAAAGAAAAAAAAGAAAACAAATAGCACTATTTTTCGGCAAAAGGGGGGGATGGCAGTGAGATGAGAGGCCAAAGGAAATAAAATCAAATAAAAGAAAAGAAAAAACTCTTGCGAGTGCGGCTCGCCAGCAGAGCAAAGTGGGCCTAAGTAGATTTGAACTATTGACTTTACACTTATCAGGCGTATACTCTAACCAATTGAGTTATACGCCTATGCTTGGAAAGACTTGAACTCTCAACCCCCAAATCCGTAGTCAGTGGTTGAGGACGAGAAAAAGAAGGCTAAGTGACCAAAGAAAAAAAAAACAACAAATAGCACTATTCTTTGGCGAAAGGGGGGGATGGGGTAAGTGGTTGAGAATGATCGTACTCTTTTCAATACTTGTGCACCGAATCTTCTCTATAGAAATACCGAATATTTACATGTCAGTTAACCATCTCTCTTTCCGTTTTGTATTACTTCTGTTGTACAGGGGTAGGGTCATCTTGAGCACAAAGGTCCTCGAAATATCCGGAACACATATTGCAGAAAGCCCCCGGGTTGACCACAAAACACAAGGATATGTTAAAGGCATCAGGGGTTGACGTCGAGATCGGAAGAAAGAGCATGCAATTGCCATTGAGGAGTGTCTTTATCTTCT